AAGGTATATAAACTTAAAAAGGCTTTATACGGTCTGAAACAGGCTCCTCGAGCATGGTACAGCCGTATTGAGTCATATTTCTTGAAGGAAGGTTTTGAGAAGTGTCCACATGAACACACTTTATTTGTCAGAAGAATGGATGGAGGTAAATTTTTAATTGTCTGTCTTTATGTTCATGACCTTATATTCACTGGGAATGATGAGTCTATGTTCAGAAAATTCAAGCATTCTATGATGACTGAGTTTGACATGACTGATCTTGGGAAAATGAGTTATTTTCTTGGTTTAGAAGTGCTTCAAAGGTCGGAAGGCATCTATGTTTGTCAACGGAAATATGCTCAAGAAGTGCTGGAGAGGTTTAATATGAATGATTGTAATGTTGTCCATAATCCTATTGTTCCTGGGTTCAAAATGATGAAGGATGAAGAGGGAGTGGTGATTGATAATACTCTGTACAAACGAATTGTGGGCAGCCTTATATACTTAACTGCAACACGACCAGATATGATGTATGTTATCAGTTTGATTAGCAGGTTCATGGAAAGACCTACTGAGCTGCATCTTGGAGCTGCAAAGAGAGTGTTGAGATACTTGAAGGGCACGGTGAGTTTTGGGTTGTTTTATAGGAAGGGAGGAAAAGACGAACTCATTGGGTACACTGACAGTGATTATGCTGGAGATCAAGATGATAGGAAGAGTACTTCCGGGTACGTTTTTATGTTGAGTTCAGGGGCAGTTTCATGGTCCTCAAAGAAACAACCTGTGGTCACTTTATCTACAACTGAAGCTGAGTTTATAGCTGCAGCATCGAGTGCATGTCAAGCAGTTTGGTTAAGGAGAATCCTGTAGCAGCTCAATCATAAACAGCCCACGCCCACAACAATTTATTGTGATAATAGTTCGACTATTAAGCTCTCAAAGAATCCAGTGATGCGCGGGCGTAGCAAACACATAGACGTTCGATTCCATTTTCTAAGAGAGCTCACCAAGGATGCAGTCGTGGAATTGGTCCAATGTTCTTCACAGCAGCAGGTGGCAGACATCATGACCAAGCCTTTGAAGCTGGACGTGTTTCAAAATTTGAGGGAGTTATTGGGTGTTTATCCACTCATGGATATAAACTGATTGCTGATAGTTTTCAGTTTAAGGGAGGATGTTGATGTTGTTAAAGATTTCCTAGCTATAAGGGTTAGTTGTCCTAGTTTGTAGGGCTGTTTCAGTTGCTGTTGATAAGTCCTATACTTTAGGAATAAGTTATTTGATTTGATTATGTTTTAGTCATATACCACGTTGTTAGGTTGGTAAAACGTGGGCTGCTTATTTCCAATTCTTAGTTTTCCTTTGTAAGGCTATTTATTGCCACAGTTGCTCTTTGATTCAATAACAGATATTCTCCCAGCATTTGAGTGTCCAGCAAACGTGTGTTTACGTGTTTTGTGAAGTGTTCAACCTAGGTTCTCAACAACGTTTAACTCTACACATATACTTATACATACTGATTTAAAAATTGGCTGTGCACATTTCAAATAAAGTCAGAGGAAATGGATCTTTCCATGGGGAAGCCAAGAAATTTCCTTTCCGAAATTGGGTCTATTCATTCACCGTCAGCCAACTTTGCCAAGCATCCTCGTAACAAAACCCATAAAATAATAAATTGTCAAGAAGAAATTTTTTTTTTAATGCTATTCCAAACCAACTTCCGCACACAAAAAGACAAAATAGTGGAAAAGAAAATGAAGAAGCAAAAGGGCGGATCTATGTTAGGGCTCCAGCCCAGCGCTGATTAGAAAATAGGCTTGAGTGGAGTCGTTCTATTATGAGGACCGTCATATATGGTCCTCAAGTGCGTACCTGTATTATTAGTCGTAGAATTAAATTGAACTGTCCAGATTTGAAATTAAAAGAATAATGCCACAACCGCTTAGCACAGCCACACCCACCTTTTACTCAACAAACATTACCCGTGCCTTTTTCTTCAAGACGTTAATTTTAGTTTTGTTCTCTGTTTTGCCCGACAGATCTGCTCATATGTCTGAGGGCCATGAAATAAGCATTCAGATCGAATGATTTTTCGTGGACTATAAGTGGGGATTTCAGATGTGTGGAAACAAAGACATTAGATGGTGGTAATTTCAGTTAAACCCATCTTCAACTTTGGGCTCCTCTCTTTCTCTCGTGCTCGACAATATATGGAAACTTAGACATTAGATGGTGGCAATTACTTGATCTTTTCATCACAATATATATGGAGTAAAAGAGAACAATATGGATCAAATAATAATCACGAAATTTGGTTTAAGGCATCAAGGATTTTCCGTCTAGAATTGATCAATAAAGAGATAAATAAATAAAAACTTTTGTTTACAATGAGAAAAGAAACGAAAAATGTAATTAGAAAAAATTTAAAAATTGTAAAGCAATTTGTGCAAATAACATAGTCAAAGGGTCTCGTCCTTTCCAAGCAAATATTTTAGACTAAAACTTTAGGCATCCATTGTTGCATTGCATCCCTGTTTGTACCATATCTGGAAAACGAACCAAAGTTGGTTTATTTTTTAAATATTAAAATTACATTCTTTCATTCTTTCAAAACCAACAAAAAGGTCTTTTGATTTTGTGTTTGGACCATTACTTAGTTTAAATTCACTCAAAGGCCCATATCTCAAAGTATCTCAGCTTTGACTCGCACTTGTTTGGGCCCAAATTTGCCACGCCAAAAACAAAAGCCCACACCATCTCCTAGGCCGCTCGTATCAGACGACCTCAAGCCCATCAGCACGACCCAGCCCATTAAACGAGTGGACAGGCCAAGAACACCTGGCCCAAAACGTTAAGAGGCCTGGGAACAGTGGAAATCAGAAAGCAACTTGGGCCTTGGATGAACTAGAATGGGGCTCAAAACGCAAACTAAACCCAGCTGATCTTTTAAAAACAATCCCACGTGATCCCTGACTAAGAAAAGTCAACAAAATCGGCTGAAATCAAGATTGAACAGAAGCAGGTATGAAAGAAGAACGTTTCTGAAAAACTCTGTTGCCAGGAGACCAAGCCCCGTTTTGTTTATTCGGAAGATATCCTTCTGCACCAAAGAAGGCGCCATTTTCAAAGGATAAGCACACACTGTTTCTATGAAAAGGAGATAAAGCGGGAACAGGGAGTTGTTCAAAAACTGGGAACTTGCCATCGCAAGCTTCAGACTCTTGCAAAAGCAGTTGAGATGGAAGAACAGTATGGCATCCCATCAAAACGCAGGGAAATGATCACTTCAAGAAACTAATTGATAAGTGCTCGCATGCCAGAAAATGGATAGAACCCCTGTTTGTTTTAAATTAAAAATTAAAAAGATATTTTGATTACTTGCCGCCCACTTTCAAAAGAACATTTCATATATATAAGAGGGGGTGAACAGAGAAAAAGACACCCAACCAACTCAACCAAAACCCAGTCAAAAGACAAATACTCAAAATGATCACTTGATCACGAGAACTCCAAGCTAAGTCCAACAGACCCAGAGTCTGAAGCATCTTAATTTCAAAAGCTTTTTTCAACAAGCTTGCAGAATCATCCTGTTTTTCTCCCAGCAAAGACAGCTGAACCACTGTTTCTGATTTGAATTCCAGTCCACAAATCAACAATAACGAAGTCTCTCTCTCGTTACAAATTTGGTTCAGCAGAGCCAAGGCAAGCAGAGTTTTGAGTTTTCTCAAATATGAAAACCTCAACAAATTTATGAAGAGCCCTGACTAAGCAGCACAGGTATTACAGCCCATTTCCAGCTCGAGTCCAGCCACTTCTGCCCCTTTCAGACTGGAGAAGTCCCAGTTCTGCCCATCCAAAAGCCTTCCAGGGTTCGAAATAGATTAAAGCTCTGCCAAACCCAAGCTTTGGTATCGATTTGCAACTGAAACCTAGCAGTTGAAGTTGTTAAAAGTCCAGTCCAGCACAGGCGTACCCAGTCCAGCCCAGAACAGAGGCAACTATCCAGACAGAAATGGAAGCACAGCCCTCTTCTTGTCCTTGTATAGTCAGTTTTTCCCTTTTTGAGTCTTGTAAAAGGGAGTTCTGCCTGAAATTGGTTCAATCTGTCATCTTTCATTCTGGCCAGAACTACCGGTTTTCGTACTGAGGAAAATTGTAAAAGTCCTTACCAGTCTAAGGCATAGAAAAGAACTTACTTGGGAGATATTCCTCACCCAAATTCACAATCGCTTGTTCAAAGTCAATAGCTTGGGGCGCAAGTTATTTTTACTCTCAAATCTGTTGGAATTGAAAATTTGCTAATGGTGGCACGCTCGACACACAAAGAAAGTTAATTTATTGACCAACCATGGTCTTTAAATTAATGGGGAACTTTATCCTACCATCACAGGTACACAAAAAGGGGTGAACAGCACTAAAGTCAGAGAATGGGTAGCCCTTACCAAGTTGACCCACGTGTCCTTCTGAAAATAGGTTTTCACCATTAAGAGCCACTTGACCGTCGTCTCTCTCAGCAAGGAAGCAAGATGGATGATTGACGCCAAAACCAAGAGGAGCCGTCTTCCGACTGGTTTTCCATCTGCAAAAGGATAGTAAATCAGGAACATCCCTTGAAACCAGCATCTTCATCTAAGATACTTTTTCTCCTACTTGTGGATAAACTCACAAGGGCAAGTATGCAGCTACCATGGGACAACACTTAAGCTTTATCCTCCACCCATCACCGTCATCTTTGGAAATTTTTGCATATAAATATAGAGGTTTAACAGCAACACTCGAGACTTTCTCTCCAAAATCAGACACAACGTTTCTTAAGCACTTGAACAAACTTCAAGCTTTTCAAACAGCCAACCTGCTATCTAGATAACCATTTGACAACTCCTGCACTTATCTTTTACTACTCTGCCATCTTCTTGGTATGATCTTTGTTAGATAATTAGGCTAGGTTCCTTCTAAACAGCTAAAACTTGTAACATATTGGATAGAGAAATCTCCAATCTCTTCATTGCTGTAATTTGTTCTTCAAAGTAGCTAAATGGAGAAATCTTTTGCTTTTGTCTTAATTTATTATCATGCCTGAGCTGAATAGAGAAATCTCTAATTTCTGAAACTTTATTTCCTCTGCAATTTACTTTACTCATACTTTACATTCCTGCCATTTATTTTTCTCGCACCTTACTTAACAGTGATTTACTTTTCCACACTTTATATTTGAATTTTTACTTTTCAAAGTAATATAACTTTTCATTGCTAGACAGGCCCAAAACAAGGGTTTTTAGGTCCGAATAGGGCTTTCTTAGCCCTAAAACAAGGGTTTATTTAGGCTTGAATCATATCATTGGCCCCAAATTAACTAAGTCTTAACCTAATCCAGGGTTATCTTAGGCCTGAATTAGGTTTTTGAACCCAATCAAGGGAACATTGACCACAACATTGGTTTTACTGTTTGGCTAGGTACCATTCGTATCTTCCAAGCCATAGACGCACAATTGAAAGAATATTGAATTCCTCTTAATTTATGTTTGCTTTACATTTTAATTTCAAATTTTTTTTTCTCAAATTGACAAAGGCGATGTTCAACCTATTGTAATGTACGGTACGGGGAGGGGGTTTGAACTCGGGTGCAAAGAGCAAGCACACTACCTTGACCAACTCGCCTAACTCACATTTACAATTTTAATTTTCTATTAGATTTTTAATTATTAGACTCCAAACTATGCTTCAATTCTCATTTGGAATTTGCTTAGAGCTACACAAATTAATAATTTTGTGATTGGTTGATTAGCTAGAGACTGTAGTTGGCTTCATTTTGGACTTTATTTGGTGCCATTCGGCCTTCGGTTGTCATATCTAGAGCTTGTACTTGATGGCCCTTGGATGTTTGTTCGGCTCTGTTTGTTTGAACATATCTATGTTAATTTTTATAGCTCCAATACATTTTAATTTTTATATCTAGAGCTTCTACAATACATGTTAATTTTTAGAACCTATGTAGTAATGTCGGTCTTATTATAGCTCCAAAATGTCTCAAAATAAAAATAAAAGGAAAATAATAACTCCAAAATTATTGCCTCTCATTCTCAAATGATTTTCCTAGTGTGAAAATGTTGTTATCAAGACAGACTACTGTGTGAATATTAATATAAAGACTATATCCTCTGTTTTTGTGGAAATGTGAGTTTGACACCTTCTCATTCATAAATCACCAATCTACAAACAAAAAGTTACTGTAGTTTTATTCAAAATAGAACTAGCTCTGCCAAATTCTGCTCAACATATTCTGATGTTAATGAACCTCTCAAAATTCTAGTCTGTTGAATAATTTAAAACTGAGAGATGCTAAATAATAGAAGATTGCATAATTGAAAGAGATTGCACAAACTATCAAACAGATGATCAATGAAGCAGACAGGGGAGGAGTTCCGACAAAGCAATTGGTCGGTTTTAGATCGTTTTAATGCAAATGTTTACGCGCCTAATTGAGAATTCTTGTTGGCTTATTCCATCCTGCACAAAACAGAATAGAGCAGTTTAAATAGTCACATAAGTTGTGTCAATAAGAACCAGGTAGGTGATCTTGAGGTGCAAATTCCAGCTGCATATAATAGAGCAGTTTAACAAAGAAATGTTCTTTCTCAGATGCATATAATATCCAGCTCATTGTTACCGACCAAAATGACAAAATGACATGAGAGAGAGAAAGAGGAATTATCATCAAAGAAACAATAAGTGATGAATCTAATGATAAATGTATGGAAAGAAAAGAAAATGCAGGGAGACTGATGGAGGTGACTTACAAATAATATCAGTTGTGAGAGCAAAAATTGAGGTGCAGATATTTGAGGAGGAGGAGTTTTTAACGAAGTTAGCAAAAATTTAGCTCCTCTTTTAAGAATAATAGTTTTTATTAAACTTTTCAACAATAGCGAAAAATAAGAGGGGTCAAGGCCTAAGTAGCAAATCAAAGTGGTTACCCTCCAAATCAAAAGTCCCCTGCTGTAGTTGAAAATTTTCATAAAAAGTGCAGTTGTTAAAAAGAGGGAGAAAATCTTTACAAGTTGAGAGAAATTCAGATATGCTCCTAAAACAAAACAAGGAATAGAGCCAAATAAAAAAAAACATTGAATTGAAATGCAGCAGCTGTGATGCTTCTTGCTTTGAAAGTGAGGAATCATAGGTCAGTCCCAATCACATCGATCTTTTTTCTTTTTCTGGGCCGAGCTTCGTCAACAACATCATTTAATTCATCTTGGTCTGCATCTTCGGAAATAGCATAGGTATTGCAGAAGAGAGATTTTTGGTGAGAGCTACCACTTCCACTAGGACCAGCCTCCTCCTCGTCGTCGCGTTGTTGACCTTGTGCATCAGCTGAATTGATGATGGATTTGTTCATCATGATCTGGTTGAGTTGTTCCACATCTTGCTCGTGCACCAAACGAAACCCACACTTCTTCACACTCACCCCACACTTCTTCTTCACACTCACCCATCTGTGACGATGAATTCGGAACAAAACATTTATCTGACTGCATTTCGTCTTAAATTGTTCGCGAGATGCATAAATTACCCAAAGGTTATCCGACAAATTGCCTATTTCAAAATATTTAAAACATCCAGGTGTCTCCATTCCTTGTGGGTGACAGCTAATTGAAAAATCATGAAATTCAGAAAGATGAGCCTGAACTTCAAACACAGCACATAAAGCTATTCCCATCCACGTGGTAGGTAGCTCCACAGTTAGGGAATTGCCCAAACTTTGATTACCGAACCACTCTGGAATTTTCCTTCCAGGAGTTACAATTTCCAATCCGTGAAGAGGCCGAGGGATTACCTATACCATATACATAGATGTAATTATTATAGCAAACAACAAAAAGAGAGACAGACACACAGAGAGAGAGAGAGAGAGAGAGAGAGAGAGAGAGAGAGAGAGAGAGAGAGAGGAGAACCTGAAGGTATCGCTGTAGCATTTTCAGTATTATACCATCGCAGCCTTCATTGTCAACCAATACAAAGCAATTGGCACAATTAAAACGACAATAATATATTTTGTCGTTTAAGGAAGTGCAATTTGACGAAAGATGTGGTAACATTTTCAAGGAAGTGCAACCGGCTATGTCTATATCCATTAATGAGATAAGCTTAGAAAGATCTGGCAATTGTTGAAGCCTTTGGCACCCATTCACCCATAATAACTTAAGCTTATAAAGACATCCAATGCTTGCAGGAAGGCTAATAAAATTGTTTCTACTAAGCTTTAATTGTACTAAAGAAGACAAGCAGCCAGTATCACTGGGAAGATCCCAAAGTCCACAATCACTCGAACCCAACACTAAAGCATTTCTTTTATATAACCAGGGGCGGCCCAACCGAAACATGTTGGGTTTTTTATTAGGCTGTGATCCACTTCCGTCCAAAGATAGCTCCTTCAGTTTTTTCAAACCAAAAATGGAGCGCGGTAGCTGTCTTATACAAGTTCCATCCACTGAAAGCCACTCTAAACACTCCATCTTCTCCAACTTCTCTGGGAGTTTGTCAATTTTTGAGCATCCTTCCACACGGAGTGCATCAAGTGACTTCAAATTACAAATTTCACTCGGAAGACCCAGGAGATTTTTGCAATTCATTAGAAACAGAACAGTAAGGCCAACCAGACATCCTATTGATGAAGGTAATTTCTCAATGGACGTCCCTTGTAAAAAAAGCCCTGACAAATTTTTCATTTGCCCTGAAAATTCTGGAATCTTTTTCAATTTTGAGCAATTACCAAGATGCAAACCTCTAAGCCTTTTGAGATCTGCAATTGACAGGTGAATCTCAACCAAATTATCACAACTTTCAAATATCAACACCTCAAGATTCAGAATGCCACTGAAATCTGGGGTTGTGGTCAAGTTTTCAGAGAACCCAAGGTCCATTTTTTTCAATTTAGGCAAGTCCTGTACAATTCATAAACAATGGAATGAACAGATAATTAGCTCAGATTTATTTTAATTTTTAAAACAAAATATTTAAAATAAAATATATATAAAAAAACTAATTTCTAGAATGGCATATGGTCACTACTCTTACCTTTCTTCCATCCCAAAGCCGAACAAGTTTGCTCTCACGCATCTCAAGTGCAATAAGGAAATTCGGTTGAAAACCTAATGGGAGAAATTTGGAAGGATACCGACTCCATTTGATAATTCTCAAGGAATTAGGAAGAATTCTGGGGCTTGAAGAAATGATCACATTGTCAAATTCAAGAACTTTCAGGTTACACATCTTAGAGAAGGCTTCACAATTCCAATCTGCCATTTCAAGTCTCGCCATGCGTGCCATGCGTAAGGCAATGCCTTTAATTTTGTATGTTGCCTGTAATTAAGAATAGTAAAGGAAAAGTTAATTGCACATTTAAGTCCAATAATGTGTTAAAGAGAAATCATTTATCTTCCAAAACTATCTTTATATAACTTTTTATCATATTGTTTATAAATACATCAAAGATATCATTAATTAAGTCTAATACTGTGTTAAGGACAAATCATAAATCTTCCAAAACTTAGTATCTTTTATATAACTTCTTACCGTATTGTTTATGAATACATGAGAGATATCATCGTGATTGCACAATCGACTTCGTCTACCAGGCTCATCAGGACACTCTTAACGAACAATTTCCCATGCCATTTCTTGTATCAAATCATGCATGTCAACAATATTGTTTAAAATATCAATAGTTAAAAGCGATTTCTGAACAAGAGCATTTATCCCAATACGACCAAATAGGTCACAACTGTCTAGTATTTCAATTACTTTCTCCTTGCCCTTCCGCTTATGAAAAAATGCAACATCAAGAAATATATCCTTGTTCATCTCATCTAGTCCATCATAACTTATTTTGAGCAAATCAAATATTTTTGACTCAGGAATTTTCCGCAACTTATCCAATTCACTTTTCCATTCATCTTGATCTCTCTTATAAACTAAGCATCCCAAGAGTTTAAGAGCTAGTGGAAGGCCTCTGGCATAATCTACAAAACTCTTGGACAATTCCAAGAAACCTTCCTCAGGCTCATTTTTTTTAAAGGCATTCAGACTAAAGAGCTCAAGAGCATCATCATTACCTAATCCCTCTACCTTATATGATACCTGCATATCATGCTTAACTAGCAACCGTTCATCTCTAGTTGTAATTATGATTATACTCCCCTTACCAAACCAATCCTTTTTTCCAGCAATTTTTTCTAGTTGGCTTGATTCATTCACATCATCAAGGATGAGAAGAACCTTCTTATTACATAAGCAATTCTTAATGTAATAGGTCCCCCACTGTTCATCCCAAACTTGAGTAATTTGTTCCTTCAAGATCGGGAAAAGAAGCTGTCTTTGTAGATTAACAAGATTCCCATGTTCAGAAACCTCTCTAACTTTAGCAAGGAAGCAGCTAACTTCAAAATGAATAGAAATGCTCTCATAAACTAGCTTAGCAATGGTCGTCTTGCCAATGCCGCCCATCCCCCATATCCCTATAAAGCGAACATCATCCGTAGGAGCTAAAAGCAAATCTATTTGCTCAAGTGTAAACTTAATTCCCACTAACTCTGTGGAATCCAACAATTTGAATGTGCGATGCATTTTACTCCACACCCATTCAACAATCTTTTCAATAAGCTTTCTTTCACACCTACAAGGAAGAAAAGTAAAACGATGATTAAGTTAAAAATGTAAGCCATGGGTTTTGTTAAGACATATAGAGAAGTTGTTCATTCATGCTTACTCATTCTTTGAATCTATCCCAGATAAATTGGCTACTTCTGTTAAAGCATCTCTCCAGCGCTTCACCTTATCGATGTCTTCCTTAAACCTTTTCTCATGCTCAGTGAAGGCTTCCCCAAAACTGCCGCTTTGTTTTCTCATATCGGAGGGATCCACATGATAAAACACTGGCAGAATTGTGCCCTTGGATTTCATGCATTGGAGAATCTTTGTAAGCTCATCCAAGCACCAGGAAGAAGATGCATAATTTGGCGAGAGAACCACGATTGCTAGCGCTGATTCTTCAATTGCTTGGATGAGCTCTGAAGAAATAGGTGTCCCTATTTCAAGCTCACGATCATCCTTGAATGTTTTAATGCCCCTGCGCTGCAATTCGTGGTATAAATGGCACACAAAGCTATTTCGAGTGTCCTCACCCCTGAAACTCAAAAACACATCGTGGTTTGGTTGAGGAGCAGACTGATCAGGTGAAGGAAGAAAGGCAGAGTCTCTTTGGGTGCTCAATGCCATTAGGCAATCTGCTGCTGCTGAAAACACTCAATGAAAATAAGCCTTTTTCTAACTAAATAGAAAGATGATGAGAAACGGCAAAAAAGAAAAGGATTAAAATTTAAACCAGAGGAGAAATAAGGACGATGAGGAAACAACAAGAGAGAAACAGAGAGAACTGGGAAAATTATACATGTTTTGTATTTCAACAGAGAGAAACAGAGGAATTCAACATATAAACATTAGAAGGAACAAAACTACGAATTTCAACATTTAAAACAAAAATATAATGCCATCTAAAACAATGCTTAGTTATGTTACTTGAACAAAACAGAAATGTGGACGAAGCAAGCCAACAAGTTTAGCTTAGTGTTACCTCAACACCGAAAAAATTACATAGCCAGAGAATTTGTAAGACCAGCAAGCCAACCAGAACCTCACAAAATATACAACTCCTCAAGATCAGCCAAGAAACCAACAAGAAGAAACAAAGCTAAGGCCATCTCCAGCCACAGGGCTAAATGTAGTCCAGGGCTAAAAATTTAGCCCCCAAAATATTAATTTTTTAAAGAATAGTGCAGGGCTAAATTTTTCCATCTCCAGCCATGCAGGGCTATATTTTAGGATCCTTCATATTTTATTATTTTGAGAAAAACTATGGTACAATACTCATACATTATACACTATATATTGTTTAATATAATTAAACTACTATTTAGAGACAATATTCCATAATTTTTTGGACTATGATTTTCGAGTGACACGTGTCGGTCCGGGAACAACTATCCAGATTTCATATTAGATTTTTATAATTTTTTTTCAAACAACACTAAAGATTTGAGGGTCTGGCCACATTTATTATTTTATAAATTAAAAAAAAATTAAAAAAAGGAGTGGGGTAGGTCTGACCCAACGGTCATTTTACCAACAATTTTTTATAATTTGTTTCTCATACAGTACGAAGTGATTCAAAATGGTGAGGGTCTGACCACATTTATTAATTTTATTTTTTTTATTTTTTTTTAAAAGGAAGTGGGGTAGGTCTGACCCAACGGTCATTTACCAACAATTTTTTATTATTTATTTCTCATACAGTACGAATTAGACATTCAAAATGGTCCAGCATTATTTAATTGGGTTCTTGAAAAGCACATGTGTGTGTCCCATTATAAATTTGGTCTAGCCCAAAGCCGGGCTATATGTGGCCTGGTTGGAGGGCTAAAGGGCCAAATGTGGCCCTCCAAATTTGGCCAAAATTTTATTTAGCCCATGACTGGAGATGATTTTGGTATTATTTTAGGGTTATATTTAGGAAATAGCTCATAACTGAAAACAGCCTCAAAAAAGAGACTGCCCTTTTCACCAATGGGAATCATTTAATGAGTGCTTTCTTTTGAATTTTTTTCCTTTTTTGCTTTTCAATGAATGCTTTCTTTTGATTGGATCAGGCGAGTTATTTGGATGGTTGCTTTCTTGGTAAAACCGTGGTGAGATTTAATTCAAGGAAATATGCAGGCAATTACTTGATATTTCCCTCATGATGACAACGAAATTTGGTTAAGGGGTCAAGGATTTTCCTTTTACATGTTTTTTCATACTCCTACAACTCATCAATGAAGGAAAAAAAAAAAATCGTTTGCAATGAGAATAAATAACTAGTTAATTCTGAAAATTAATTGAGGAATTTTTTTTAGTACAAGCGCAACACAAAAGTTTATATGTAATTTGAGCAATT